AAATATGGGACGCTCTTCCTAATACCCAGATGCGTCTAAGGCGGTCAAAGAGATCTTTAGCATTTCCCCCTTTTTTTACTTTTACTTATTTTATCTTTAACTACTGTGTTTATCTTCAACTGTTGTTTTTTTTTTATCTTGAACTACTGTGTTTATCTTTAACTATTGTTTTTTTTATCTTTAACTACTGTGTTTATCTTTAACTGCTGTCTTTATTTTTAACTATTGTTCTTTTTATCTTTAACTACTGTCTGCATTTGTCAGTGGGGAGTGACATTTGTGTGAGTGAGTCTAGATGTAACAGATGCCAATACATAGTTACCACGACCTCCTGTAACTTTTAACATAGTATAGTCTGTATAGCCATCGGACGTTGAGGTTCATACTGAGGGGAGGATCTGAGCACCTATGGACATGTCCGGAGTGCAAAGATGATAACCTAACTAAATACCAGAACTTACTAACTAACTAAACTACTAAACTAACTCACTAACTAACATAGTTTGCAGGAGGTCGGGTATAGTTACCAGCAAGCATCAGTTGGCACAGTCACGCTGTCTTTGTTACAGAACAGCAGTGTGTGTGTGTAGATGTGACCCACACAGGACGACCGGGTACCACCTCTCTGATGCAGGCTTTCTGGCCTTTTGCCTCTGTTGAGTTTGTATCTGAACATTGGCTTTTCCAGTCAAATGGGTGGGGGGGGGGGGGGGAGAGGAGGAGGCGGGGTAAGACTTACATTTCCCAAAAAAAAAAAAAAAGCATCAATGCGAGGTCAAATTTGACTATCTTGAAATATTTATGTACCTGTTTACAAACACAATGTGATGGACACACACTGTGTTTTATTTTTTTGTTTTTTAATTTTCGACATAATGAGAAGAGAGACATTGAAGAACACCGTGACAACTAAAAAGATAAGTGGAAAAGGGGGTAGAGGCAGACCAAGAGAGACGATCTGGATGGGCTAAAACGATGGCATAGAGGCATATCATCAAGAAACTTGTTTCAGTCACCCAGGGATCGTAATCCATGGAGCGCCTACGCCAGTCGGTAGGGCACACGATGATGATGATGACCAGGTGTCAGAGACAATGAATGAATTCTCATAACGAGATTTTGTTCCGCATTTAAGAAAGACCTGCCACGTGCAAGCAAAGCTGCTCACGTTGTTGTACACGATCCGAACACACAGCCCTAAAAGTTGGGGAGCTTGGGGCTGCTCTTTCTCACGTGACGGACACAAAAGGTCTACTGTTGTGTGGGAAACGTCTAGCTCAACGAATGTAGGTCACACAAGAACCATGTGTATATACATCACAGCAGTGGCTTTTTAACCCCCGTAAACGCATTCCTTTGTTTTTGTTCATGTGCGTGACGTGAGATATGCTACACATTTGGTATAGCCCTCAGTAAGGACTTCATTAACCTGATTGTTGCGGTAGTTTATTATGAATTCCTGTCACCTCTGATTGTGTAGGTGTACGTGTGTGTGTGTGTGCACACCCGTGCCAGTTTAGTAACCGCTACTGTATTAGTGTGCGGTCAGAATAATTCATGCGTGATTCACTTAAGCAAGCTACACACATAAAGAGTAGCGGCCTTGACAAGCCCGCGGTGTGTAGCCTGCCGTGTCCATGTCTCGTGGATCTCCCGGGGGTCAAGTCTTTGGACTGTCCGTGTCTATTCCACTTGTCGTGCCTGGATTGACCCGATCAACTTCTAATCTGTGTGGATGTTCGACGAGTCTAGAAACTGGATTTCACACAGTAGAGGTTGAGGAGAACTGTAAGTGGATCGGGCACGTTTGATCCACCAGTGCTGGATCTGCAGACACATAGGCGCTAGTAAATATACACACGCTTCCATAGCGTTTATTTACCTCAACGCCGATCTTCCTAACGTAAGTCTTCGTGTGTGTTTGGGTTGTGTGTGCATGTGTGCGTGCGTGTGTGTGTCAGAGAAAGCGACATAGACTCATAGAAGGCAGAGGGGTAGACAGTCTTAAATGTCTTAACGAGACAGTTCTTTACAAAACAGTGTGCTTTGTTTTGATTTGCTCGTGCCAGGAACATGTTTGGCAGACGGCGGTGGAGGATGCGGTTCCTGAGAAGAATGTACAGGCTGGTCGTCAACGGGGAAAAGGGGGGAGGGAGGGTATTCACGTTGCAATGTAGTTGTCATGATCTGTACAGGTTAGCATTTGTGTTTTACCACTGACAGAGACCAGAAACATCTTCACCTCTTACACAGAATTGAGCCCTAGTCTCCTGCATTGGTCATGTCTACACTTGTGTGGTAGCTGGGTTCTCTAACTGACCCTTGGCATGCGATGAAACCCTCACAGCAAATCCAAAGTCTTAAGAGTGGGACAATGCAACAACAACAACATTCTTTTGGGAGAAGGGTGATGGGGTAGGGAGTAAAAACCGTTCTGTTGGATCTATAGGGATCACTTGTTTAAAGTGTGGACAATGTCTACCAGTGCCATTGTGTCTAACAGACAATTTTATAAGCATGTAATGTTTAAGCATGTAATGTTGGCTCTATCTGGCTACAACAGATAATTTTACTAGCATGTAATGTTGACTCTATCTGGCTACAACAGGTACTTTTACAAGCATGTAATGTTGGCTCTATCTGGCTACAACAGGTACTTTTACAAGAATCTATTGTTGACTCTATCTGGCTACAACAGGTACTTTTACAAACATCTATTGTTGGCTCTATCTGGCTACAACCGGTACTTTTACAAGCATCTATTGTTGGCTTTATCTGGCTACAACAGGTACTTTTACAAGCATCTATTGTTGGCTTTATCTGGCTACAACAAGTACTTTTACAAGCATCTATTGTTGGCTCTATCTGGCTACAACAGGTACTTTTACAAGCATCTATTGTTGTCTGTATCTGGCTACAACAGATAATTTTACAAGCATGTAATGTTGACTCTATCTGGCTACAACAGGTACTTTTACAAGCATCTATTGTTGGCTGTATCTGGCTACAACAGATACTTTTAAAAGCATCTGATGTTGGCTCTATCTGGCTACAACAGGTTATGTTATCATAGTCGGCATTACTGCACAACGTTAGTGGCAATTCCTACGTATGCTCAGTCCTCCTATGCAGCAGGCACTCTAAGCTACCTCTACTGATTGTTTTTATGAATATCTGATTATAGTATCAACTTACCTGACGTCAAAGACAGCATAAATGTACTTTACCAAACTTTACTCCCAGGTCATGCAATTGTTTTAGCATCAGAGATGCTACACTAACGCCCAGCCTAGTCCGTACAGCATCGATAAAATCAGCCCTGTCTGGGCTTCTTCCAATTTGTACATTACTTTCCAGCTGGTCAGTTCTTCCATTACCATTTACTCCTGCGTGCCCAAGTGTGTAGATCCAGATGATGGAGGCTAACTGCAACTTCTGAATGTTTCCTATCCGTTCGGAGCGTAAATACTGTAGCAAAATTCTGAAGCATGTTCATAGTCTGAAACAATTACATGTGTGGCCGCTTGTTCTGCTATCTATATGAGCACTCTGGAAGCAGCTATCTCTATGGTAATGCTTGACATAGTAACTGTTAACTCCACTATCTTTGAAAAAAACTATTTCTCCCCCCCCCCCCCCCCCCCACCTTTGTGCTGTGTCTGCCCATGCTGATCTTGACCTGCTCTTTACGGACTCATCTGTATAAATGATGATGATGTCTCCTGGGTGTGAATACTGATCAGTCAGTGCCCTATCTTTGTGTCTACGGTGGCAGCTATCTGAAACCTCCAGTACCTCCCCAGTTGATGACAACCTACTGAACAATAGCCCTATGCTACTACAGCTGCTACTGGTATGTGAGACCTCCAGTACCTCCCCAGTTGATGACAACCTACTCAACGATAGCCCCATGTTACTACAATACTACAGCTGCTACTTGTAAGTGAGACCTCATGCTGTGCCCACTGTTTCAGGGACTGAGGACCACACAGTGAGTTGAGGTTTTCAGCTATCTGACCATCGGATGTGAGCTGTCAAAGGTCTACCAGAAACTGATCACATTTGAACAGCTACTGCTTCAGCTCTACAAGTAGGTTCACACTCATGTTTTTCACACACCAGATGTTTATGTGTTCACAACATCATGTTCACACAGATGTTTATTGTTCACACATCATGTTCACACAGATGTTTATTGTTCACACATCATGTTCACACAGATGTTTATTGTTCACACATCATGTTCACACAGATGTTTATTGTTCACACATCATGTTCACACAGATGTTTATTGTTCACACATCATGTTCACGCAGATGTTTATTGTTCACACATCATGTTCACACAGATGTTTATTGTTCACACATCATGTTCACACAGATGTTTATTGTTCACACATCATGTTCACACAGATGTTTATTGTTCACACATCATGTTCACACATATGTTTATTGTTCAAACATCATGTTCACACAGATGTTTATTGTTCACACATCATGTTCACACAGATGTTTATTGTTCACACATCACGTATATTCATACTGTTCACACAGATGTTTATTGTTCACACATCATGTATAGTCATACTGTTCACACAGATGTTTATTGTTCACACATCATGTATATTCATACTGTTCACACAGATGTTTATTGTTCACACATCATGTATATTCATACTGTTCACACAGATGTTTTATTGTTCACACATTTGTGTATATTCATACTGTTCACACAGATGTTTATTGTTCACACATCATGTATATAATACAGTAACACATGTATTTTGTACTGTTGAACGTGTATATTATATAATTTACTCATTGCATATTTCGCAGTCCAACATCATGAATGTCACTCAGCTGCCCATCATGTGTATATCATACAGTCAGATGTCATGTGTATATCATACAGTCAGATGTCATGTATATATCATTCAGTCAGATGTCATGTGTATTCTAACCTTTTCTTTGTGTCACTCTCAGACACTGATCATGTCAGAGCTGTCCAAGCTTCATCAGGCAATAGTTGCAGAAGACATCCAGGATATAACTCACATCATCAAAGGTGGCGCTGATGTCAACGCAGTCTTTAACCAAGAAACGGCCTTCACCAAAGCTTTAACAGTCGGGTGTCCTGCAGCAGCAGACATGGTGATGACAAGCAGCAAGTTTGACCCAAATGCTGGGAATCAGTTCAATACTTCTCCACTGCTTGTGTCTGTGAGAGAAGACAGAGTCCACTATGTGAACAGGTTGCTGACCATGGGGACCATGTGAGCTGTCAAAGGTCTACCAGAAACTGATCACATTTGAACAGCTACTGCTTCAGCTCTACAAGTAGGTTCACACATCATGTTCACACAGATGTTTATTGTTCACACAGATGTTTATTGTTCACACATCATGTTCACACAGATGTTTATTGTTCACACATCATGTTCACACAGATGTTTATTGTTCACACATCATGTTCACGCAGATGTTTATTGTTCACACATCATGTTCACACAGATGTTTATTGTTCACACATCATGTTCACACAGATGTTTATTGTTCACACATCATGTTCACACAGATGTTTATTGTTCACACATAATGTTCACACAGATGTTTATTGTTCACACATCATGTTCACACATATGTTTATTGTTCAAACATCATGTTCACACAGATGTTTATTGTTCACACATCATGTTCACACAGATGTTTATTGTTCACACATCACGTATATTCATACTGTTCACACAGATGTTTATTGTTCACACATCATGTATAGTCATACTGTTCACACAGATGTTTATTGTTCACACATCATGTATATTCATACTGTTCACACAGATGTTTATTGTTCACACATCATGTATATTCATACTGTTCACACAGATGTTTATTGTTCACACATTTGTGTATATTCATACTGTTCACACAGATGTTTATTGTTCACACATCATGTATATAATACAGTAACACATGTATTTTGTACTGTTGAACGTGTATATTATATAATTTACTCATTGCATATTTCGCAGTCCAACATCATGAATGTCACTCAGCTGCCCATCATGTGTATATCATACAGTCAGATGTCATGTGTATATCATACAGTCAGATGTCATGTATATATCATTCAGTCAGATGTCATGTGTATTCTAACCTTTTCTTTGTGTCACTCTCAGACACTGATCATGTCAGAGCTGTCCAAGCTTCATCAGGCAATAGTTGCAGAAGACATCCAGGATATAACTCACATCATCAAAGGTGGCGCTGATGTCAACGCAGTCTTTAACCAAGAAACGGCCTTCACCAAAGCTTTAACAGTCGGGTGTCCTGCAGCAGCAGACATGGTGATGACAAGCAGCAAGTTTGACCCAAATGCTGGGAATCAGTTCAATACTTCTCCACTGCTTGTGTCTGTGAGAGAAGACAGAGTCCACTATGTGAACAGGTTGCTGACCATGGGGGCTCGTGTCAATGATGCAAACATTAGAGGCAGCACCCCGCTGATGGCTTGTGCCTGGACAGATAATGCTGAGATCGCTCAACTGCTGATTGATCATGGAGCTGACTTAAACCAGGCAGACATGATGGGACGCACGGCGCTTCACCATGCCTGCAGCCATGTTGCCGTCAAAGTTGCCTCGTTACTGGTCAGATCTAAATGTGACTTGAATCACCAGAGCAACAACCGTGAGACACCCCTCATGTGCGCCTTACCCTCCACGTACAACTCCCAGGTTGCTAGGAAGCAAGTAAGTGACATGCTGATGATCTCTGAGATGCTCATTCGTGCTGGCAGCAATCTGAACGCACAGGAGGACAGAGGGAAAACAGCACTGCACCGCACGGTTGAGTGTCATGACATTCATGGTCTGTGTTTGTTAGCTGAAAGTGGTTGTGAAATTAACATCAAGGACAAATCAGGGCAGACAGCTTTTCACTTGGCCCTTTCCCAGCATCCACCGCAGTTTGATATTGCCAGGTTCTTGTTGTACTATGGTGCCGATCCAAATGAGAAAGTACCACATTTAAACACGACTCCAATTGTGCCACCCTTATCATTATTACTAAAACTCCGCCGTTCATATAATGAGCTAGGAAACAGCTGGTCCTACGATAGATTACTTCAGTGCCTACAGAGATGTGTGTATCCCACACTGGCTCTTCTACAGGCAGTTTCTGATGCCGACCGCAATATACCCAGCAGTATCCCACTAGAACAAGACGTGGCCAGGAATGTCTTGCAATGGCTTCAAGCCAATCAACCTTGCTCTCTCCAGTTTCAGTCTATGCTCAAAATCAGACAGGCTTTAGGTTCCAGTCATATATTCAAAAAAATAAGTCGCCTTCCAATAACATTGGTCCTCAAAGAGTACTTGAGCCTGGGTCTGCAGCAAGACTGGCTGCCACTGACCACATTTTGCCAACTACATTTGCACATCAGAGACTTCAAGAATGACCTAGCCAAGGAGATTATTCAAGATAGACGGAATATTAACCTGTTTATCGATGGCCGAACACCCCTGGCTGTAGCTATAGAGGTAGGCAACACTGAAATTGCCATGCTGTTATTGAGTAATTCAGGGTTCTGTCCAAACATCGTCAACTCCGCGGCTGATAACGCTCTCCATGTGGCTGCTCAGTATGGACGAGATGAGCTGGTAGAAGAAATCATAAAGAGGTATAGAGATATCGACAAGGTGAACTTTAAGAAATGTACATCCTTAAAGGTAGCCATTGAGGCTGGCAACTTCACATTAGCGGCCATTCTGATCCAGAAAGGAGCAAACGTTAGAAGTCCTAGGGGCAGTATCTCGTTGCTGCACATGGCAGCAGCCTGCGGGTGCCCTCAAGTCGTGCAGCTGATCTTATCAAGAGGAGTGCGCCCAAATGTGAAGGACAATTTTAAAAATACACCTTTGCATTTGGCAGCGAGCAAGGTAATATCTGTTTGTTCTGATTGTAATGAGACAGTGTTTGTTCTGATTGTTATGAGACAGTGTTTGTTCTGATTGTTATGAGATAGTATTTGTTCTGATTGTTATGAGACAGTGTTTGTTCTGATTGTTACGAGACAGTGTTTGTTCTAATTGTTACTAGACAGTGTTTGTTCTGATTGTTATGAGACAGCGTTTGTTCTGATTATTATGAGACAGCATTTGTTCTGATTGTTATGAGACAGTGTTTGTTCTGATTGTTATGATATAGTGTTTGTTCTGATTGTTATGAGACAGTGTTTGTTCTGATTGTTATGAGATAGTGTTTGTTCTGATTGTTATGAGATAGTGTTTGTTCTGATTGTTATGAGATAGTGTTTGTTCTGATTGTAATGAGATAGTGTTTGTTCTGATTGTAATGAGATAGTTTGTTCTGATTATTATGAGACAGTATTTGTTCTGATTGTTATGAGACAGCGTTTGTTCTGATTGTTATGAGATAGTGTTTGTTCTGTTTGTAATGAGATAGTGTTTGTTCTGTTTGTAATGAGACAGTGTTTGTTCTGATTGTTATGAGACAGTGTTTGTTCTGATTGTTATGAGACAGTGTTTGTTCTGATTGTTATGAGACAGTGTTTGTTCTGATTGTTATGAGACAGCGTTTGTTCTGATTGTTATGAGATAGTGTTTGTTCTGATTGTTATGAGATAGTGTTTGTTCTGATTGTTATGAGACAGTATTTGTTCTGATTGTTATGAGACAGTGTTTGTTCTGATTGTTATGAGACAGTGTTTGTTCTGATTGTTATGAGACAGTATTTGTTCTGATTGTTATGAGACAGCGTTTGTTCTGATTGTAATGAGACAGTGTTTGTTCTGATTGTTATGAGACAGCGTTTGTTCTGATTGTTACGAGATAGTGTTTGTTCTGATTGTTATGAGACAGCGTTTGTTCTGATTGTTATGAGATAGCGTTTGTTCTGTTTGTAATGAGATAGTGTTTGTTCTGTTTGTAATGAGACAGTGTTTGTTCTGATTGTTATGAGACAGTGTTTGTTCTGATTGTTATGAGACAGTGTTTGTTCTGATTGTTATGAGACAGTGTTTGTTCTGATTGTTATGAGACAGTATTTGTTCTGATTGTTATGAGACAGTATTTGTTCTGATTGTTATGAGACAGCATTTGTTCTGATTGTTATGAGACAGCATTCGTTCTGATTGTTATGAGACAGCATTTGTTCTGATTGTTATGAGACAGCGTTTGTTCTGATTGTTATGAGACAGTATTTGTTCTGATTGTTATGAGACAGTGTTTGTTCTGATTGTTATGAGACAGTGTTTGTTCTGATTGTTATGAGACAGTGTTTGTTCTGATTGTTATGAGACAGTGTTTGTTCTGATTGTTATGAGACAGCTAACACAAATATGATACACAAGATCACTCCTTGAGTCACCAACTGAGACACTTGAAACACCTGACTGGGACAACTGACTTGGAAAATTGACAGGGACACTGAAACACCTGACTGGGATACTTGACTGGGACATTTAATGAGACATCTGACTGGGATACATCAACATTATAAGATATGCATATGATATTGTGTTGATTGCAGACACTGAAGGATATCCACATGTTTAGTGCATGCATTGATAGTTCACAGTAAGAAATTAGGCTTACGGTTCAATTGTCAGCAAAACTGAAATTATAGTTCATCATAAAATGGAAAGAAATACCAAAGTGGGAACTGCATACAAATGATGCAGTTCTTAAGCATGTCAGTAGATACAACTATTTGGGAACAGCCATACATGAGATGCAAGAGGCCTTGCAGAAATGAGAACAGGAACTGCCATGGCAAAAATGACCTTTAGTCAAAGTAAAAGATTCTCACTAACAAGAAGATGTCAATTGTAGTGAGTAACAATATTAAAGTTCTTGTTTAACCTGTGTTGTTTTGTGCCTGTGAAATATGGACAATAATCAAACATTTATAAAAAAAAAAATTTGCCTATTGTAGAGATGAGACTGCTGCGAAGAATGCAAAGAATATCATGGAAGGATAGAAAAACAAACAAAGCAGTCCTGATCGAGATTTGTGAAACTCGTAAACTTTCTAAAACAATAAGATGCAGACAGCCAATGCTTATTGTACATGGTAGGAGAAGGAATAGACTTGAGAACTTTGCATCAGCTGACAAGGTGGATGGAAATATAGCAAGAAGACACACGGATAAATCCCTGGATGGCCTAGTCAAATAGATGGTGCAAGACAAGAACATTGAACTGATCTGGGATTCTGGTGATACACATGTGACATTACTGCATACAAGAGGTAGACAAGTATGACATTACCACTTAAAACAGGTAAACTGGTGTGGCATTACTACACACAACAGGTAGACAAGTGTGACGTACCACACACAACAGGTAGATAAGTGTGACATAGCACACACAACAGGTAGACAAGTGTGACGTAGCACACACAACAGGTAGACAAGTGTGACGTACCACACACAACAGGTAGACAAGTGTGACGTAGCACACACAACAGGTAGATTAGTGTGACGTAGCACACACAACAGGTAGACAAGTGTGACGTACCACACACAACAGGTAGACAAGTGTGACATACCACACACAACAGGTAGATCAGTGTGACGTACCACACACAACAGGTAGACTGGTTAGTGCAGGTGGGATAGCAAATTGATCATGTTCAGTAAAAATACAGGTAAACTGAAATATTTCATGACAATAATCTTGTCTCTGCTGACTCCTCCCCCAGGGTGGCTTGTACGTTCAGCGACAAATCGTTGTACCTGGACTCTACCGGGATCCAATCGCAGAATCTCTAGATGCCATACAGATGATTTTAAATGTTTCCCGGCCCAAGTTCATCAAACCAGACACAGGTCATTCAGAAGTGGTTAAATGCCTGATTAGCCATGGTGCCAGTTTGACAAAGGTGAATGAAGACCATCAGACGCCAGTGCAGGTTGCTGAACTATACAAGGCTCAGGATGTTCTTGATGTGCTCACCAAGTCTGCAGTCTAAGTCGACAGTCACAGCCTGGCCGCCTGCTACCTGAGATCTGATACAATGAGTCAGATTTGACAGACTAAATCAGTTCTCACGGACTGACGCAGATGTGACAGATATACTGGGACCTGACAGACAGACTGACTTAGATCTGACAGATATACTGGGACCTGACAGGCAGATTGAAACCAGACAGACTGGAGACTTAATAGACAGAGATCAGAAAAGCTGAGACCTGACAGACAAACTAACATCAGGCAGACTGAGATGTGACAGACAGCCTGTGATGTGACATTCATACTGAGACCTGAAAGATAGACTGTGACTCAAAAGACTAGCCTTGATATAGGGACAGAATGAAAACTCAGACTGGCAGTTTAGGGACAGGCTGAGATCTGCAAGACAGACCTGAAAGACTGGGTTTTGATATAAGTACAGATTGAGGTCTCTGCCACACAGACAGACCTGAAAGACTGGGCTTTGATATAAGTACAGACTGGGGTCTCTGCCACACAGACAGACCTGAAAGACTGGGCTTTGATATAAGTTCAGATTGAGGTCTCTGCCACACAGACAGATCTGAAAGACTGGGCTTTGATATAAGTACAGAGTGAGGTCTCTGCCACACAGTCAGACCTGAAAGACTGGGCTTTGAATTAAGTACAGATTGAGGTCTCTGCCACACAGACAGACCTGAAAGTCTGGGCTTTGATATAAGTACAGACTGAGGTATCTGCCACACAGACAGATCTGAAAGACTGGGCTTTGATATAAGTACAGATTGAGGTCTCTGCCACACAGACAGATCTGAAAGACTGGGCTTTGATATAAGTACAGATTGAGGTCTCTGCCACACAGACAGATCTGAAAGACTGGGCTTTGAAATAAGTACAGACTGAGGTCTCTGCCACACAGACAGATCTGAAAGTCTGGGCTTTGATATAAGTACAGACTGGGGTCTCTGCTACACAGACAGATCTGAAAGTCTGGGCTTTGATATAAGTACAGATTGAGTTCTCTGCCACACAGACAGATCTGAAAGTCTGGGCTTTGATATAAGTACAGATTGAGGTCTCTGCCACACAGACAGATCTGAAAGTCTGGGCTTTGATATAAGTACATACAGAGATGTGTACAGAAATGTGAAGGACAACTTTCACATGGTCAGATTTAAAATGTCAGGGCAGTCACTTGTATATCCCTGTACATAAAATAAAATGCATGCATTTTTAATTGTGTGCATGATTTACACTTACAGCAGGTGGTGAAATAAAGTCAGCACCAGCTACTCTTGAACATGTATATAAATTCATCCGAACAGATCCATTTGTTTTGGATGCAGGTGTGTGTATGTGTGAGTGTGTGCATGTGACAGTGTTTGTATGTGACATTGTGTGCATGTAACAGTGTGTGTACATCATACATGTATTTGCCCATGGAAGGAGAAGCCAAGTTTGACATGTGGTTTGGACAAGCTAGATATGTAAACATTGGTGTCAATGTGAGTCCTTCTCTATGTACTCATTGCTGAGTTCTGTCATCTCGTTGTTCAACTTCCCTATTCTCTGTTTGTAGAACACCTTCTTCTGGGCCTTCAGTGTCTGCAGCTCAGTAATTGTGTTTGGAGACATGATATCCCAAGCTACTGTGACCCAAGCCAGTGTTGTGTTTGGAGACATGATATCCCAAGCTACTGTGACCTAAACCAGTGTTGTGTTTGGAAACATGATATCCCAAGCTACTGTGACCTAAACCAGTGTTGTGTTTGGAGACATGATATCCCAAGCTTCTGTGACCTAAACCAGTGTTGTGTTTGAAGACATGATATCCCAAGCTTCTGTGACCCATGCTATTGTTGTGTTTGGAGACATGATATCCCAAGCTACTGTGACCCATGCCGGTGTTGTGTTTGGAGACATGATATCCCAAGCTTCTGTGACCCATGCCAGTGTTGTGTTTGGAGACATGATATCCCAAGCTTCTGTGACCTAAACCAGTGTTGTGTTTGCAGACATGATATCCCAAGCTTCTGTGACCCATGCCAGTGTTGTGTTTGGAGACATGATATCCCAAGCTACTGTGACCCATGCCAGTGTTGTGTTTGGAGACATGATATCCCAAACTTCTGTGACCTAAACCAGTGTTGTGTTTGGAGACATGATATCCCAAGCTTCTGTGACCCATGCCAGTGTTGTGTTTGGAGACATGATATCCCAAGCTACTGTGACCTAAACCAGTGTTGTGTTTGGAGACATGATATCCCAAGCTACTGTGACCTAAACCAGTGTTGTGTTTGGAGACATGATATCCTGAGCTACTGTGACCTAAACCAGTGTTGTGTTTGGAGACATGATATCCTAAGCTACTATGACCCAAGCCAGTGTTGTGTTTGGAGACATGATATCACAAGCTACTGTGACTAGAAGCCAGTGTTGTAGGCATTGCCTGGAGTGACCTGGACTTGCTTGATGAAATGAAACAATCTGGGCTCAATTGTTTCCCAATTATGACATCTGAAAGGTGAAGATTAAAGAAGTGCACCACCTTGATAGATGAATGTATTTAGGACCCAAGTTTACACCAAATTAACCATGTGTCTAGACTGCTTCATAAGTCAAGCAAACATTTGTTGACCATTCTCTTTGAACACACCAATCTTATCCAGTGCAGGATATTTTCTTGTTGAAATTGTAATTGACCAAGCAGGTATGTCAACAAATGGCAGGTGTGTTAACATAATGGCAGGTGTGTTAACATAATGTTTGTTAGAACTCAGTGAAATTACACTCAGTGCTTTATTATAAATGAAAGTTGTTTTCATTGGTGTTTTCTTCAGTGTATTTTTGATTTGTATGTGTGTGTACAATTTTTACTTTTATGAAAAGTGCATGTGTGTGTACAGGCTTTACTTTTGTGAAGTGTGCATGCATGTGTAGAAGTTTTACTTTTATTAGTGTCCATGTGTGTGTATAAGTTATACTATTAAGAAGCGTGCACATATGTGTACAAGTTTTACTTTTATGAAGTGTGCACATATGTGTACAAGTTTTACTTTTGTAAAGTGTGTATTTGTGTGCACAAGTTTTACTTTTATGAAGAAGTGTGCATGTGTGTGTACAAGTTTTACTTTTGTGAAGTGTGTATCTGTGTGCACAAGTTTTACTTTTGTGAAGATGTGTATGTGTGAGTACAAGTTTTACTATTATGGAGAAGCCTGTGAGAGTGTATATGTGTATACAGGTTTTACTTATATGAAGAAGCTTGTGTGTGAAAATAATAACACATGAAGACACTTAAATGATGAAGAAAGTTGTGTGTGTTATGTTAAGAATATAACATAAAGAGAGAGCCATGTATGTTTGAGTACATTTGTAACAGTAAAACATATAAAGAGGGCAGGGTGTTTCAGTTCTGTTTATAACATGAAGAGAGAGCTGTTTATGTGTGTTTACTTGTGTGACATGCATTTGCAAGCAATATTGAACAGTTAGGCTGTTTACTCATTTCGTTTATTATTCTGTCACCATTTTTGGTTTACTTTTGTTTTCTTCTAGTGGTGGTCTGTTCTGTCATTTAGTACTGTTGTTTAGTGTATGTTTGGTTATTTCATAACATCATGTACTTCTGAATACTTTATCACAATCAGAATTGTCATCAACTATATGTACACTACACATTCTGTAGTTATTGCTGACTTGCAGCCATGACTAAAAAAAAAATGGCATGCAATAATGACTCACAAAAATGACTTGCAACATGTCTGGTAACATGGAAAGACAGCATTGATGGATGATTGTCCATGTGTACGTGTCAGTCAGCAACACTTTCTATTTCTCAGCATTCTCATCTAATGAAGTTCATGATTACAGGATTTTTTTTTTTTCAGGAACCGAACTTGTGTTCATAAACTGAAACGCTCCCACAATACACTCAAATCTGGATTCTTTAATTTTATACCACCACATCACGTAGGTTTCGAGATTTAGTAGAGAAATCCGCAGAACATCTCATAGTATGGGGGGGGGGGGGGGTATGATTAGGTTTAGTAGTAGTGCTATTTATTTATCACTAGCCTAACCTCTCCTCCCCCCCCCCCCCTTTTTACATAATATCGTACTGTCCATGGAAACCCCTAGGAATTCCCTATGAATTCTCGAAGCCAACGAGCTGTGGTGGTATACCATTTAAGTGCCAATATTGTTCAGAAACAGAATTGTTGCAACAAACAAAAAAAGGGGGGAGTTCGAGACAGAATCCACTTATGGCTACAGCTCTATTTTCGACACCACATGTAACATCTGCCAGATCACAAACCATCGGAAATTCCCGTTATTCCCTCTAAAAGAACATGGCGGGGTAGTCGGCAACAACTTTACTGTCGCCAAGGTATTCCATGACAATTTGACTACAAAGCTTAACCAAATGGGGAAGCTACTTACTTACTTTACTTACGCCACCGCAGTGTTTTGGTGAAACCAAATGATAGCCACTGGAACATGGGACCTCTTGAATCCCTTCCCTACCACAAGGTGCGCGGTTAGACCCCTTCTCTGGATAAGTCTTTGTGGGAACATCCTCTATTCAATGTGCAAGAGGGGTGAATCGTCGCTCTAAGCATATTTAGATGTTCTCAGATGAAGTAACTGTTATATCTGGTAAACTTAGTTTCAGCTTCAAAGCAAACGGGTCACCCCATAGTTGCTCCGCTCCTGTGCCAACGAAAAACACACAGAATGTTTATCACAGTTCCTTGTGGAAAGATTGACAGACTGCTGACTCAGCAAATGCACTAGCATACACATACGCATTAAAAGCATACGGTAGCCATCTGGAGTGCTAACACAAACAGTCCGACATTAGAAATGCAGTTCCTCATGGATGGTAGCACTACTGACTAGTTATATATTTCCCCACTGTTTGTTTTCATGTTCGCCCTATCTCGGGGTGACCGATACTTCATGGGTCAGTCCAATTTTTTTTTTTTTGGGGGGGGGGGGGGGGTGGGGGGGGGGGGAGGGTGTTGGTTAGTAGTAATCAGTCTTCATTTCACAACCCATTTATCATTATACTATTGGACTTTCCCTGGGGATTCTCGTATACTCCCGAGATGGATGGTGTTAATTCTAAAAAAGGCTGTCATTGTGTTAGGCGTATAATTATTTAATCACAATTGGACACATAATAATACAATCATTTCAGGCTTGAGCCGCGCCCAGTGGCCTCACTAGAATATACCGGGGCGGCAGATGCCCTCGGTACAGCTTGCGAAAGGGGACAAAAGACATTGTTTAAAGCGGTAGCGTCTCATCCGAGGGTCCACAGTGAGTTTCTTTCTGTCAAAAAGGTCAGAAGGCTACCACTCTACATAAATATAAACTCTAGCAAGGTCAAGTGATTTATTACTAGGATTAAAATCTATAAAAGAAGGCCTCATGCCATCTTTGAAGTTTCCCTAAAGATAAAATCAATAAGAATAATCAGTGATTGCACAATAAGGAAACAATATATCCACCATGTTAATTGCACAGTTAGTGAGATTGTCTAGTTATTTGTAGTAAAATTTGTATCATAATCACAAATCAAAGCAAAATGTAAAACAATACGAATTAAATTTTGGTCAGATAAATAATGACATGAAATATAAATTTGAACAGGATGTTTTTTTAAAAATTACTAGTTGACAAGAATCCTTCACTACTGGTTGTTTTAACGCTCTCGTGAAAGAAAACTTGGCGCATGTGAAAGAAACTGCTGGATCCACGTCGCATCCCCCTCTGCCCCCCTCCCCCCTCGACCCAGTGTGCAGACAGAATGAATCCGTCCATACGATGGTATCCACTGTTTGCCTTTATTTCATCCTTCTTTGGGTAGAGTCGGTGGGTGAGTGGGTCGGTCGGTCCTACTGTCAGTCTGTCTGGCTGCTTGCCTGCCGGTGAAAACGAAATAAACACAAAGAATGATGTCATAAACTGTCTACAAAACAGACAAAAGTCGTATTGTGTCTATTCTCTTGTCAGCGGTGATATTGGCCACAGCAAGATCCAGTTTTGCCTTCTCTTGCGTTGTCTAGCGTGTAGTGTGCCTTAATAAGTGAGCCAAATAAATTATTTGCAGCCTTGTATTTCCCCAGAAAAGCTACAGTCCGGAGAAACCAGGTGTCAAACGTACCACCTGTTCCTACGCGTTTGGTCGGCGCAAGGGTTTTCTCCGGATTACTGTTTTCTGCGAAAAGTCATACCGGGAAATTGAGTTCAAGTTTTGTCGGCTGATATTTGGCTTAGATTTCCTTTCTCGGTAATCCTGACAGCAACAGTGAAACCAGAGATCGGATGTTAGTGTAAGTTGTACATTTGTTGTAGACTAGCTCAGTTAGTGCTGCAAAGTTGTACATTTGTTGTAGACTAGCTCAGTTAGTGCTGCAGACATTGAACTTTCGCTTGGAATTGATTGAATCTTCCGTCAGATAAAAGTGGGTTCGGTTCTAGATTTAGCGTTTGTCACTTCTAGATTTAGCGTTTGTTGTCACTTCTAGATTTAGCGTTTGTTGTCACTACTAGCTACTCGACAGAATCATTGATGTAAGAAAACTGGTTAAGCCGTTTGCTGCGTACTCTGAAAGTTCTGGGTTTGATTCGGTTCGCTGGTGAGAGTCTTCTAGCGATCCCTAGGGTTCGTTGCTAAAGTTATGGAGTTTGTGCTTTGTGCAAGACTGTAGCTAATGTACACTGAGACGGTGCCTCAAGAAACGGTCTTTTGCCACGTTTTCAAGCACACTGAGTATATAATACTAAATTCGTTTTCACTGGGAAGTCTACCGCCTTTATTTCCCGCCACATCTTCCCGCGATGGACCTGTCACAGCCAGCGTGACTGAGATCTTTTATTTATTCATCATCATCATTATTATCATCATCATGTGCCAGTTGGTGTAGACTGTCATGTTTCGCTGTCTCGCTCTATCCCAGTGGACAGGACAACTAGTATTTGTACCTTTGTCGTTCTTCGGCTCTCTCTCCAACAACGTTGACAGGTGTTAGCAAATCTAGTGTCCATTCCTTCTGCAAACATTTCTAAACACGCCCACTGTCCACCTCTGCTTGTTCCCGTAGGTTTACTTTCTTGGTGAGGCCTGCTTTGTTGGGTTTTCTATCATTCCGTGCATTTTCTTTGCGTTCTTATCAGAAACCACATCTCCACCACGAGTGAATGTATTCCAGCTTGTTTGTTTACACCACATCTACCACGTGTGAACGTATTCTAGCTGGTTTGTTTATACCACATCTCCACCACGAGTGAACGTATTCTAGCTGGTTTGTTTACACCACATCTACCACGTGTGAGTGTATTCCAGCTTGTTTGTTTACACCACATCTCCACCACGTGTGAACGATTCTAGTGAACATCTACCACGTAGTGTCCAGAGTGAATGTTTGTTTACACCACATCTCTACCACGAGTGAATGTATTCCAGCTTGTTTGTTTACACCACATCTCCACCACGAGTGAATGTATTCCAGCTTGTTTGTTTACACCACATCTCCACCACGAGTGAATGTATTCCAGCTTGTTTGTTTACACCACATCTCCACCACGAGTGAATTTACACCACATCTCTACCACGAGTGAATGTATTCCAGCTTGTTTGTTTATTGTCCACGATGAATGTGCTGGTTTGTTTATCATCTCGAGTGAGTTGTATTCAGCTGGTTTTTTACACCACATCTCTACCACGAGTGTGTATTCCAGCTGGTTTGTTTAGATTCAACGAGTATTATTCCAGCTCACCCACATCTGCTACTACTGATACAGCGACTACTACTACACGATGATTTTTCCTCTTTTAATCATTTAACTAATGCCATGTGCCTCTTCACGAGGCTAGCTGTCACGTTTTGAGGTGTACATGGCTGACAGGCAAGTGTCATGAGCTGGGCACGCGACGTGTCGCTGTACGAGGCTAGCTGTCACAGTTTGAGGTGTACATGGCTGACAGGCAAGTGTCATGAGCTGGGCACGTGACGTGTCGCTGCACGAGGCTAGCTGTCACAGTTTGAGGTGTTCATGACCGACAGGCAAGTGTCTTGAGCTGTGCACGTGACATGTCGCTTTACTAGCCGGCCGGTGTTGTGATAGATGTCCTATTAGACTATCGTGCCAGTCACAACCACAGTCACTTCTTCACATGTAATGCCTGTAAGCTCCGAAGGAAAGCAGTTTGTTGCTCCACTTTTGCACTTGTGTTGAAAAACTTGAGTTGTTCATGTTCTTACAGACCTGGCTTATTTATATGCAGACTGTTGGTTCCTCGTCGCTCAGGCAGATGCATTTCGACTCCGAAGGAAATGACTACCGTGTAATATGTGTTCTGTAGCACTTTTAACATTTTGTTTGGCTTGTCGGTGTATGTTGCCAAGCATCTCGTTAATCTGTTTGATTGTTGCAGATACTCATAACTGGCACGCATAGAAAAGAACAAGTGTGATTCTCTGCACTCTTATACCAAGATGTCGGAAAATGTGAACTTGCTTCTTGTTGGGCGAACAGGTAATGGAAAGAGTTCCACAGGGAATTCAATACTTGGCCGCACGGAGTTCAAGGTCAGCATGAACAGCCAGCCATTCACAGAGGAAGACATCCGGCGAGCAGAAGCAACTCACGGCCACAGACAGATCACTGTAGTAGATGGGCCCGGAATCGGGGACGCTAGTCTGGATGACCCAGACCAGGTGGCTAAAACAATAGATTTGACTAAGCAGGCCCTTGAATACTGTCCTGACGGGTTCAGTGCCGTACTGGTAGTTCTGAAATACGGCGAGATATTCACGAAACAAGAAAAAGACGCTGTGCAAACTGTGAAGGCTATTTTAGGATCTCATGTTCTAGCGAGTCATGGGGTGATTGTCATGACACGGGGAGAAAACTTTGAGACTGACCAAGAAGAAGATCACCTGTCTTTTAAAGATTGGTGTGGACAACAAACTGGCGACATTGCTAAAATATTGACCGAATGTAAAGGAAGATTTGTGCTGTTTAGTAACAGGACAAAGGAAAAGACAAAGTTAGACGAACAGCGCCTGGAACTGTTGAAACAAGTTGACAGATGCCAGTCTGTTCCCTACATGAAGCAGAATTATGACGCCGCCAAGGCGGATCGCCACCGATTGAAAGTCTCTAGTAAACTGGCTATCATGGAAGAAAAGAATGGGAAGATTGTCAAGAAAATGACCGCTGCTATAAATAAATTGGATATTTCCAGACAGCCAGGTGAAGCAATAAGAAAGTTGAACCGCCTTGAAAGCGATCTGAACAAACACAAAGGGGAGCTGCTGACACAGACAAAAGGTACAGGTATGGGCCAGAGTCTGTTTATTGAGCTCGATGTTGTGGCGATGTCTCTCACCACTAAACGTCAACTGGCAGAGTCCTATCAGCAGCTGCACGAGAAGGATGAACACGAGGCAACTAAACATAAACACGCGGACACCTGTCAGCAGCAAGTGGAGGCCAGTAAAAAAGACATGACAAGACAAGCTCAACAAGAGCCCAATTCTAGGCCAGACCACAGGCAGGCGAACACGGTAACAACTGTGTGCATGTTGAGTGTAGTTGTGATGTTGAGTGTTGTGATGCTGAGTGTTGTGAAAAGTTGTGATGTTGCGTGTTTTAAGCGTTGTGATCTTGAGTGTTAAGGAGTTATGATGCTGAATTTCTGGAGTAAACCTTCATGTTCTACATCTGTGCTACATCTGAGATACTGTGCCTGTCGTGTGTTTGTTTAAACCAGAGCAGTATGTGGACAGCACTACACCGCTCCCCTTTACTTTCCAGGAATTGCCCTGGTATCTGTTTTACGCTGAATCGGCCTGGAATCCATCCGAGTGTTTTATTAACCAGCTCTACTTACCTGGCCCCCATCCAGATGTTTCAATGACCAACTCTACCTGTCCCCCATCCAGATGTTTCAATGACCAACTCTACCTGTGCCCCATCCAGATGTTTCAATGACCAACTCTACCTGTCCCCCATCCAGATGTTTCAATGACCAACTCTACCTGTGCCCCATTTGGGTGTTTTACTGACCTACTCTACCTGTCCCCCATTTGGGTGTTTCACTGACCAACTCTACCTGTCCCCCATCCAGGTGTTTCACTGACCAACTCTACCTGTCCCCCATCCAGATGTTTCACTGACCAACTCTACCTGTCCCCCATCCAGATGTTTCAATGACCAACTCTACCTGTCCCCCATCCAGATGTTTTACACTGACCAACTCCTGTCCCCCATCCAGATGTTTCACTGACCAACTCTACCTGTCCCCCATCCAGATGTTTCACTGACCAACTCTACCTGTCCTCCATCCAGATGTTTCACTGACCAACTCTACCTGTCCCCCATCCAGATGTTTCAATGACCAACTCTACCTGTCCTCCATCCAGATGTTTCACTGACCAACTCTACCTGTCCCCCATCCAGATGTTTCACTGACCAACTCTACCTGTCCTCCATCTAGATGTTTCACTGACCAACTCTACCTGTCCTCCATCCAGATGTTTCACTGACCAACTCTACCTGTCCTCCATCCAGATGTTTCACTGACCAACTCTACCTGTGCCCCATCCAGGTGTTTCACTGACCAACTCTACCTGTGCCCCATCCAGGTGTTTCACTGACCAACTCTACCTGTCCTCCATCCAGGTGTTTTAATGACCAACTCTATCTGTCCTCCATCCAGATGTTTCACTGACCAACTCTACCTGTGCCCCATCCAGATGTTTCAATGACCAACTCTACCTGTCCTCCATCCAGATGTTTCACTGACCAACTCTATCTGTCCTTATCCTCCGACACATCCGTCTATTCATAGCCATTAATTGTCCTCGCTAAGAAATTGTGCAGCATATTGCACTTTCTGCCCTTGGTGATTTCCTTTTGCCATCATTGTTTCCACAAGGGATGCTCTCCTTTACTCAGATCAGGGACAAGCTCACGCATGCCATTCAAGGTTTTGCCGTCAAGAGAAGTTCCTCAAAGGTAAGGTCCTTTATAGGAAAGGCCCATAAAAGGAAGGCTTCAAATCATGACTCACTTGAAGGCACTGAATGTGAGGCCTTCGATGGAAGGCTGAATTCACACGTGGGAGTTCATCGTCGCCAACAGGCTTCCATTTAATGAGACATAGAACACGATTCTCTGGTTCTGGTCTCACAGCAGTACTAGTCATTTTGTTTTGGACTCACAGCAGGACTAGTCATTTTGTTTTGGACTCACAGCAGGACTGGTCATTTTGTTTTGGACCCACAGCAGGACTAATCATTTTGTTTTGGACTCACAGCAGTACTAGTCATTTGGTTCTGGTCTCACAGCAGGACTGGTCATTTTGTTTTGGACTCACAGCAGGACTGGTCATTTTGTTTTGGACTCACAGCAGGACTAGTCAACTCCTGACCTTGGCTGTGAGAGCTGACTGCTGCATGTTAGACTTCTTCTTTGGCTTGTTTCCTCAGAACATTGAGGATGAAGTCTGTGGACTCACAAGCAATGTTTAGATCCATTTGTTTGGCACAAAATGTCTAGACATAATCTTACTATCAATAATTTGTAGATATAATTTTTCTGTTGATGATGACTAGATGTAATCTTACTGTTGATAATGACTACACATATTCTTACTCTTGATAATGTCTCAATAAAAGATCTAAGATTTGCATATCTATATATATATATATATATATATATATATATATATATATATATATATATATATATATATATATATATATATATATATATATATATATAACATCACTATAAACACACACGTTGCAAAAGTATGCGCATAGAACTTGATATCCTATATTGTTTACAGCTCTTGTGTAAAATTTCAATTCATCGCTGCAAACATGTGTTACGTTGTTATTGTCTTCACAGACAACACCTAAGAAACAAGACAAGCAGATTTCCACAGGCCGAGATCTTCCTTCTCTTCAACGTACCCATCAGGTATGGTCACATGACTGGCGAAGCCCTTTACCTCATCATCATCATGTGTCTTGCCATATGGCATTGCTTTTCACGTTGTACCTAAGGCTTCTGTTTCGATGTTCCTAATCCCTTTTGTTTAGTTTGCACAAACCGACCCCATATGCGTTTTGTATTCACAGAACACTCACCGAGACAAACACATCTAGAAATGGTTTTAGTCTAACTATGTTACAATATTACACATAGTTGTTTGCAAAGTTTTTTTCCCTAGTATTCACAACAAACGTTTTTCACCAAAGATATCAGTACTTACCACAAAGTGTCTGTTTTCATCATCGTCATCATGATTATCATCATCGTGGTCGTTGTCGTCATCATCAGCGGATAATCTTAAACCACCTCAGACGATCACCAGAATCCCAGATCAGTTCAATGTTTTTGCCTTGCCTCATCCATTAGTCAAGACCATCCAGGTATTTATCTCATTACCTTCCAGTCTTTGCTCTATTTCCCTTCCAATCTTTGCTCCATTTCCCTTCAATCTTTGCTATATTTCCCTTCCAATCTTTGCTCCATTTCCCTTCAAATCTTTGCTCTATTTCCCTTCCAATCTTTGCTCTCTTTTCCTTCCAATCTTTGCTCTATTTCCCTTTCAATCTTTGCTCTATTTCCCTTTCAATCTTTGCTCTATTTCCCTTTCAATCTTTGCTCTATTTCCCTTTCAATCTTTGCTCTATTTCCCTTCCAATCTTGCCAGTTGTAATCAAGTTCACGAATTGACTCCTTCTCCTAATGCACCCCCTCACCCCCCCCCCCCAAAAAAAAAAACAATTCCCCTTTTTCGTCTAATTGTTCTATGAATGTCTATTTTACTAGTGCTAAATATAGCATGCCTAAAAAGGTGCCGGTACGACGTACCTGTGCGTACTAACAGACAAGAAACCCATATCGTTTCTTTCACCAGAGCTCAACATTTTCTACACGAGAAAGCCATTATTCAAATAAACAAGATGACGTAACGGCCAAACAGGCAAGTTGTCACCTTCAGTTTTGTCCTGGTCAGCATCTACAGTTTGATGGCGTGGTCACAATTTGCTAGCTGAGAATCTAAGACATTCCCTAGAATGGGATTCCAAGACATTCCCTAGAATGGGATTCCAAGACATTCCCTAGAATGAGATTCTAAGACATTTCCTAGAATGAGATTCTAAGACATTCCCTAGAATGAGATTCTAAGACGTTCCCTAGAATGAGATTCTAAGACATTCCTTAGAATGAGATTCGAAGACATAACCTAGAATGAGATTCTAAGACAACCTAGAATGAGATTCGAAGACATAACCTAGAATGAGATTCGAAGACATAACCTAGGATGAGATTCGAAGACAGCACAAACGAACGAACGAACGAACAAGGATTACAAATTGGGCACGCAGGCACACTATAAGGATGGCGGAGACCCGAGGCTGTTACATTGGCATTTTTAGGTTGGGGGCCTTGTCTAAGCGGCTAATCTGGTACCCACTGTAGAACTGACAAACATAACCACAAAGTTTGACTCACCCCCCCCCCCCCCCCCCCCCCCCTTCCCCCCAGACTACATCCATATGGGTTTCGGGACGCCATTGTGCAGGCAACAAGAAAAAGACCAAATTTCGATTAGCAAGCATGTGGTTAAACCGACTAATTGTGGGTGTTTGCTTCCAAGTCGGAGGACATCTGTCTGAGAGTCGGAGGGCATCTGTCTGAGAGTCGGAGGGCATCTGTCTGAGAGTCAGAGGGCATCTGAGAGTCGGAGGGCATCTGTCTGAGAGTCGGAGGGCATCTGTCTGAGAGTCAGAGGGCATCTGTCTGAGAGTCGGAGGGCATCTGTCTGAGAGTCGGAGGGCATCTGAGAGTCGGAGGGCATCTGAGAGTCGGAGGGCATCTGAGAGTCGGAGGGCATCTGTCTGACAGTCAGAGGGCATCTGAGAGTCGGAGGGCATCTGACAGTCAGAGGGCATCTGTCTGAGAGTCGGAAGCCATCTGTCTGATCAGTCAGAGGGCATCTATCTGAGAGTCAGAAGGCATCTGTCTGAGAGTCGAGCAAAGAACATTCTGCATACAAATAATATGTGAAACGGATGTGCAGGCTACACACCAGTTCTGGAATAAAAAGAAAATCCATAACTAGGCGAACAAGCAGAACTATCCGCCAGAGTGAAAGTGAAGAAGAGACAGGACAATCTCCGACAAAGGCCTACAAACAATTCTGTTTCGTCGGAGATGTACTGTTGACGCAGAGATGTATTCTGTCTAGTTGTACAGAGGGCACAATCTCCGACAAAGGTCAACAAACATTCTGCTAGTTGGCATCTTGTGATCCCCGAGTAGTTCCTTGTTTGCTTTTCCTTTATGTCTTTAGTTCCTTGTTGGCCTTTATCTTGTACAGATTTGCTCTTTTTATCTTGATCAAGTGTCTCCTTGTTGGCCTGTCTTTAGTTCCTTTAGTTCCTTGTTGGCCTTCATCTTGTACATCCCCTTTAGTGTCTTTAGTTCCTTGTTGGCCTTCATCTTGTGCATCCCCGAGTGTCTTTAGTTCCTTGTTGGCCTTTATCTTGAGTGTCTTTATCCTTGTTGGCCTTCATCTTGTATCCCCGAGTGTCTTTAGTTCCTTGTTGGCCTTCATCTTGTACATCCTCGAGTGTCTTTAGTTCCTTGTTGGCCT